TATCGTTACTTTGTTGAGAATGTGGCCATGTAATAAGCGGGATAATGTGCAGCGACTTGGTCATTATGGGGAAAAGAACACCGACAGAGAACAGATGGTGGAGGTAAACGGTACTCTGTCCCCCCCCCTCCCAGTGAGCTGTGGTGTTCCACAAGGAAGCATATTAGGTCCGTTACTGTTCCTAATTTATGCAAATGACATGTCATCAGCATGTGACTGCAACTTGTTCCTGTTCGCGGACGACTCAGCCCTGCTGGTCTCTGACAGGAGCAGATTGCAGGTTGAAAAAACCCTCAGCTCCGAGCTCGGCAGAATCTGCACCTGGCTCGCCGATAATAAATTATCATTACACCTGGGTAAAACAGAGTCCATTCTCTTCGGTTCGAAACATAATCTCAGCAAATCCGACGACTTCTCAGTTGCAGTGGGTGACATTATTGTCACAAGTAAGAAGGAAATTACATACCTAGGATCTATTCTTGAGGCAAACCTCTCCTGTGACAAAATGGCATCCAATGTAATAAAAAAAGTCAATCAAAGAACTAGATTCCTATACCGGATCTCCTCTCTGGTAAACAAAAACACCCTGAAAACTCTGGCAGGAGCACTCATTCAAGGGTACTATGACTATGCTTGCACGTCATGGTACCATAGCACCTCCAAGGCGCTAAAAATAAAACTTCAAACATCGCAAAATAAACTGGTCAGACTACTGCTTGACCTTTCATCTAGAACCCACCTCACCTCTGCCCACTTTGACAACCTAGGATGGCTTAGAGTAGACGACAGAGTACAGCTACTTGCAATGGGCCTGGTCTACAAGATCCACTACACCTCTATGGTACCCATGTACATGTCAAAATTCTTCCCAAAGGTCAAGGAATACCATGATCATAACACCAGAGGGAGCTCCACAAATCATGTAAAACCCAGATTTGGCACAAAAAAAGGGGAATACACGTTTCGCAATTATGCCACATCAAGGTGGAACGCTCTTCCCACAACTGTAAAGGAAAGTAAAACTATACTTACCTTCAAAACCTCTCTTAAAGAGCACCTTCGGGGGAAAGCATTGCAAAACTGGCCCCGGTAATGGTACAAATCTCAACCTGTCGTACAATGGACAGCTTCCCCCCCCCATCTATGTATATACTCGCATTTTAGACTCTGTTACTAACTGTATATCTGTAGACTTGGTATGTCTTAAATGTCCGGTTAGGATGTATTAGAACGAAATCTAAAATGAAAATTGTAAATAAGCCATCTGTATGTAAAAAACCACCTGTATGTAAATTGTAAATAAGCCATCTGTATGTCAAATATGTCTTATATGTCTTAAATGATATGATGAATTGGAAATGGGGGACCCTGATGTAAACAAGACGAAAGTCTTTCTCTGGTCTGCATCCCCTTAACAATTGTATGTTTTGAGCTGTACTGTACTGTACCCAATATACAAGCTGTTAATAAACTTTTCAATCAATCAATCAAACAGGCTGATCAGGAGCCCGACGCGAAGCGGAGGGATCTAGATCAGTAGCTGCACATTATCCCTTACCTAACACACAGAAGGAGTGATATGAGAGAAGAGGAAGTGTGAATGCTTCTGAGATCATAAACTCACCGAGACGATGCAGGCCGAAGGTGAATCTACTCGTGGGCGGTTTGGTGGAGAGCCAGAGGGCCAGCAGAGAAAACAGAATGCCCACCACGTCTGTTAGCATGTGCACAGCGTCAGTCATGATGGCTAAGCTGTTGGAAAAGTAACCACCTGAAAGTCAAGACAAAGAGATTTAAAAGGATATCTGCAGAGATTGATTTTAAATATTTGTGCATGCACAGATTTTAAGATACAAGTGTTGGCACCTTGCAGATATACACCCACAGCATAGTATGTGGTTACATTCTAGGTATGATGTGACAGATACTCCTTGGCCCAGGAAAATAAACAAATGTTATTACGTGATTTAATTGGCAGATAATAATTTATTTTATTAAAAGTGACAAAATAGTATACGATCTAATTCCTTGAGAATTCAATCTGACTGTGACCCTGATTAACTGTCACCTGCTGTCAGCAACATGTATCAAAGAATGCTCCACTGTCCCAGTTTCTAAATAGAGAAATAGATTCATAAAGAAAACAAGAAATCTAGCGTGAAAAAAATCCAATAGCTTTTAAAATAGCCAGTATGTAACAGTCATTGATTTGTATGTTTGGATGCAAGTCATTATTATTAATCAGCAGATTTATTGCTAGATTCATCATTTAATCTTTTATAAAATATCAGAAAAGTTTATTACAGTTTCTTGGTTTTCATGATGATGTCTTTAAATGTCTTGTTCTGTCAGTCCAAAAGCCAAATATATTCAGATACAAAACAGAGAAAAGCAGGACATCTCTATATTTGAGAGGATGAAAACAGAATATTTGCATGAAAAATCACTAATTAGTCGATTATCGAAACAGACGAGTTTTGAACCACAAAATGTATTAATAATAATATAAAAACAAGACTAGATAGATAGAAGGTAGATAATTCAGCACAAAAAAGTCAGCAGAACAAGCTTTCAGAGTTGTTGCACCAGAGGCGGAAATTATGGTAGGACATATAATCAATCATAGAGTCCTCCAGCCGATAACACCCTGAGGGAGAGGAACAGCACAAACTATGATACTGATCTAGAGCTGGGAGGAACAGTGGATGGATTTGGAAATACCCTAACCTGCTCATTCTCTGATTCAATCATCATTTTTGTTAACTGCGTCAGAAAGGTGATGATTAACACACGATGAATCCTGAGGCATAAGTGTGTGATTGTATCTATCATCCTCACCTTTTCAGCTAAATAAGTGTAAAATAAAAACCTGTTTTTCTTCTAGAGATATTTCAGCACGAAGCATGTTTGATGGTACGCCCATGTTTAGGCATAGAAGTATAACAAATGTCTCCTTCCACTATAATAAATGGAAGTTAAAGATTTGTGGTGCTCAAAGTAAAAGAAAAGTACATTTAAGACAGTTGAAAACTAATTTAAAATGTAAAAAAGGCATTCTGTTTCAGACGAGGTAGCCTACTAAACCTGCTTTACAGAGGGTAGTAGAGTTCATTTTCTCCACCTAATTGACTGAACAATCAATATGTCTTTCTGTTTGCTCATCGGTTGTGTATATCTGAGCAGCCATGTCCAAACAAACACATTGCTAAACTCAGGCCTGCTGTGTCCCCAGCTGATTTGAAAAGGTTTAGGTTGTTTCCTCTCGCTTATGTCCTGCAGCCATGGATGTAAAACAACTTCTATTTCTATGTTGTATTCCCTTTCACCTGCCTTAGCAAGACTTCACTAAACCTCCTAAAAGTGGTCCAAAAACTGCTGCAAGCATTTGACCAAGTGCTCGAAATGGTCTCATGTGACTCCCATTAAGATTTCTTTCCACTGGCTTTCCACCAAATACTTTTAGTTTAGAGCCTTGCCTGTTTAAAGAGGACCTACATCAGGTCTGATCGGGGTTTGTTGGTTATCCCCAGGCTCAAGACAAAAGGAGAAGGTACCTTAGAGGTTGTAACTCCTAAACTTTGCAACTTTTGTAGTGTCTCAATGACAGTTTTATTCCTTTTTACATGTTTTTAGCTTTGTTGGTATCTCTTTAGTATCGTTTGTCTTTCACTTGTTGTTTTGTGTTGTTGTTTTTTTACACAAAATCACTTTATAAGGTATGCTGTATGAACAAATGTGTCGTCATTATTATATATTGTTATTATTATTACTATCATCTTCAGAGCCAGTTTGTATTCTACATCTCTTTTGTCATAACGCTTACTGGAATATCTAGCAGTATTTTTTTTTTTAAATACAGCTCTGAAAAAAATTAAGAGACCACTCCACATTTATCTTAAATCTCTACATGTATGACAGCCATTCTATTCCAGTGTCTGTTGAATTATAGCACAGAGAGAGAGGTTGTCAGTAGTTTGAAGAATATAATAACAAATGTTAATTTTACTCAAACACATACCTATAAATAGTAAAACCACAGAAACTGACATTGCTGCAGTGGTCTCTTCATTTATCCAGAGCTGTATGTAGTGTGAGGTTCACTCTGCACATCTTACCGACAATTTCCCCTGTCATGAAGAGGAAATAGAGCAAAGCTGCCATGACCAGCCTCTTCATCACTTTCTTGTGTTTGATGCTGTCCCTCTTCTTGGTGCAGTTCTCGCAGGGGTCCATGTTGAGCCCCGGGCTGCCCAGGCTGGAGGAAGAGTCCAGCAGGGAGTCATCATCATCCGCTGACACCACCAGCGTGTTCACCGCCACCCCGTTGGAGGTAGCCCCGGAGGAGTAGTCCGACATCTCCCCGGAGACCACCACCTTGAGCTTGTTAAATTTGGGCGTCTCGTCGTCCCCCAGCTCGTTGGAGAAGTCGAAAGGCTCGGTGTCGCTCAGGTCCCAGTCGTTCCTCTCCCTCCTGAAGGCGGACCGTACCTTGCTGAAGAGCCTGCCTCCAGACATCTTTGCTAACACTGAGGTTTATCCAGGCCTCTCTATGGAATCAGTCCCATTGTTGTAGGTTCAAGTCTTGCATTTCTACTCCGGTTGAGTACCTAGAGGAGACAAAATTAATTAAACTTTACGACAACTCAGCAATTCACTCCAGATCCTTTCAGATTATCATTGTAGAAGTTGTGCTGGTTAACTTTGAGTCATCTTTTAAAAATATATATAGCATAAGCTAAAGAGTAACAAGCTAGCTAGTAAACGTTAGCTGTCTTGTCGTGATAGTTAGCCACACACAGACATGTAATGTAGACGAAATACAAGCCGGCTTACCTAATATATATCCTTTATGGTTGTCAAGTATCGATTCGTCTTTAAATTGAAAACTGTCATCGTAAGACTGGTGTCAACATCAGTCGTTGCTCTCACCTCCTCCTCTGCACTAGCCAGTTTGGTTTCGCCACGCCCACAGTCACGTGATGACGCACGAGTCACATGACGTTTTTTCCAGACGCAGCAACACATCCAAACATCTCTGCTGTTGTTTCTCTTTCTTGTGTGCGAAAAAACGGAACCCATTACACAAAGTTACTGTTGAATAGACAAGCAATCAGGTAAGACTATGTTGTGACTATTAGAGGTTGTGTAGTTGCTGATGTGTCACGTTATGAAGCTGCTCAGCATGCTAGCTAATGTACTTCCTCTATGGTCAGATGTTCTGATAAGCTAACTGATCATTTACAGCCGACAAAATGTGACTGATTTATTGATGCCTCTTTTTCAAGTTCTGAAGCAGCCTGGGTCAACAGAGTCGTTGCATATGGAGGTAGAGGAGATGGAAGATGAAGGACCTCCACACATTGCAGGTGTGTGTGTGTGTGTGTGTGTGTGTGTGTGTGTGTGTGTGTGTGTGTGTGTGTGTGTGTGTGTGTGTGTGTGTGTGTGTGTGTGTGTGTGTGTGTGTGTGTGTGTGTGTGTGTGTGTGTGTGTGTGTGTGTGTGTGTGTGTGTGTGTGTGTGTGTGTGTGATCTGGCCTCTGCCGCCTTGACTTGTCTGGCATGAATTTGGGTTTTACATTCTCTGCTAAGTTTTCTCCCTAGGTAAATGTTCAAAGTACATTTTCCCTTGTCAATTTTAAAACCAGCTGCAGATCATTGCCAACTGATGCCATACTGATTAAAACCAGGCCCTTAAGTTTGTGTGTATGACTGTTTTCTTATACTTCAGACAATGATATCTCTTTCAAGTTGGACCTTGGACCTTGGACCGAAACAAGTTAAAATGAGTGTTGTACTGTCATTGCACAGTTACTTAACCCCAACACAACTGTCTCTGTTATTATATATTGAGGTGTAAGAGGACATGAATAGTCATGCACATGGGAATCTGTGTCATTTTAACCATATCCATGTCAACATTGTCCAATTTTCAGCAGATTAGTATGTTCATAAATAAATAGCATGTACATTTTATTGCACAGTTGTTATACTTGCACTGTTTTATTTTGGTGGAAACTAAATGAATATGGGATGGACTGTGCAATGTCTTCAGTACTGAGAGCACCTAGAAGGATTTCGTACATTTATTTCTTCATCCAAAAGTACAACGTTTCCAATACTTGCCCTGTGACTTTCCTATTGCATGCTTGTTTCACCCTGGTAACAAACGACGATATGCTTACTGGTGCGCTAATCCCACCACCGCCTGTCTCCCATTATATACAACTACACCAGGTGCCAAAATCACCCAGTGTCCAAAGATGCCTTCAAATGAAAGCAACTTTATCGAACTTAAATAATAACACATAAATAATAATACATTTGCTATAAACAAAACAAAAAAAATATATATATATAACAGACATAATATATAGCTCCAACACTGTGTGACACAATACTAAATACATGATTTCCTCAACATGTGACAGAGCTCCAGTTGGACTGTTTGGAGAGCCCGGCGCCTGTAGAGAACGTGTTTGTGGATAAGAAAGCTGTGGACAAACTCACAGAGGGATTACTCTCTCACTACCTACCAGATCTACAGAACTCTAAACGAGCCCTGCAAGAGCTCACGTGAGTATTTTTCTTGTTTGGTTTTAGGTACGGCCATCCCTAATAAATACACATTTCACCAGTATTATCTCACCACAATGGTTTTAATAAGCACAGGATACAACTTTAAAAGTGGCAAGATTAGAGACATATTAATACATCCCATGGTGGAGAAAGTTTATAATGTTTTTCTTCCAACTAAAGATTACAATCAGTGACTTCAGGGATATGTTATCCCAAACAGGTTTTGTTAATAAAACATTTATTTTCAATGTCTCTTTGCTTTTGCTTCTCTTAAAAACCATGAAATCAAGGAATTTTGTAAATAAGAAATAATAAAAAACTTGCTTGTTTATTGCTTTTGATTTGTCCTTCAATATTAAGGATGGTCCCATCTATCCCAGAGTTAAAGAGATCATAAAGGACAATTACTGAGTACATAAAAAAGCCAACAGGTGACTGTCAAAATGTGATTCCTATAATGACAGAAACCAGTATACAGTAAACAACTCTGTGGCACAGGTCAACATGCTTCAGGCAGAACTGGATGGATGGGTTGTCCTGTTGCTTTAATGCTGGTAGTGCTGAGTTTACCGTTCAGTTCACTGAACATGCTGGTTCACTTGTAAAGAACAAAGCCATCCAAAACAACCTGAACTGTCTTTCACAAACATGAACAATCTGTGCAACACTAATAAACATCCAGGAATGTATCCGAATAATTTGCGTATGTAAATATTCTCTACATATTGACTCTGATGGAAGTTTTGAATATTTAGAAGATGTCCTTTCAATTTAAGAAATGTTTTGTTGAAAAAAGGCCTCTTGACTTTACTTCTTTCTCTCCATTTGTATCCTGACCAGACAAAATCAGGTGATATTGTTAGACACACTGGACCAAGAAGTCACCAAATTCAGAGATTGTAATGCCTTACTGGACCTCAATTCACTGGTATGTTGGGACTGAATTATAATCTCATATTTCACACTTATCATTGTCTGTTTTCTTTACTTACCAATGGGAATGCTTTCTAATCCAGTTTGTTGTATTTAGTTTACAGAGGCAAAGGTTTACCACAATAAACTGGTGAACATAAGAAAAGAGATGATCATGCTCCATGAAAAAACAACTAAACTAAAGGTACCTTTTCTTTGAATGTATTACTGGAAAATGGGTGATGCGATGTTAAAAAATGGCATAAAAAAATGTATGTATTAATGCAATTAAACGGTTCACACACTGTTTGAATGTTAACTTGTGTCTTCTCTCAGAAAAGAGCCTTGAAGCTGCAGCAGCAGAAGCAGAACGAGGCGCTGGAGAAGGAGCAGCAGCGTGAGAAGGAGCTCGAGAGAGAAAGGCGGCTTGTTGCCAAACCTGCGAAAAGATCTTAGGATCCCCGAGTATGTCTGCTGAATGAATGTACAGGTGCTTTTGCATGCCTTAGCCTATTTATTACATATCAACTATACTACACATGACTACTGCTGAACATTTTCCAAAGCAAAAGTATTTTAGACTTTTAAAAAAATGATAATGTCTGAGCTTTTGGGCCTATATTTTACTGGATACAGAGAGAGAGAGGAGAGATTAGACACAGTTTAGTTTTCAACCAGGAACATCCTGATCACATATCCATTTTACATCTGTAGGACTGACCCCTCATCATTTTTACATTTCAGAATCAGTTTGACTGCCATCCACTCATTTTGGTACTTTAATAATATCTACTTAAAACATGCTCAATACATGTGATCTATTATACCTAAATTATTGTTGCATGTTTATGCAGTTGACAGAGGTCACTCATGTGACATGTTTGCTCTGAATTACTTCAAAGTACAACAGCATTTTTTTTTATAGCTTTATTGCCTCTCTAACATTGAATTCTCAGCAGGTCAAACTCCACTGGTTTTGTTGTTATAAATAACGGCCAGGTGTACTACCTTTTAGCTACAAAAATACTTTTGGTGGACAGCTTCTCAAAATAAATCAAATATATTGGTTTGAAATGGGGCTGATATATTGCTTTAAATAGAAACATTATTTTTTATGAAACACCCTTCTTTATACCTGCACTGAATTAGAAAAATTTGATTTTTAATGTGAAAGTCTAAAAAAGTCTTTATAAATTAATTGAGAAAAATCCATTCCAAAATCTTTAACACAAATAAGAATAGAGTGATATGCTTTGGGATATGGTTCACATAAACAGTACATGGTAAATAGGCTAAAACATGCAATAAGCATGGTATGGTCTTTTATGTTGAACATTGCCAATATCACCACAAACCAAAGACCTGGACTGAATCATCCAATGCTGGTACTTTTCACTATCAACCTCTGGTGACACACAAACTGGAGCACTTCCCCGAGAGTGGAACAAATCGCTCAAAGACACTTTAGCCGCCGTCAGACAATTGCCAGGAGGAAAATCAATGTGGTTGCTGTCTTTTGTTAAATATTAAGTGTTAATATAAGTTGTTACATGCCCTGTTAGTGTTGAATGTTATAAAACAGGTATGTTGTTTGGATAGATCTGCACTATACTGACTGTATTTCTGGGATCCAGATGATGAATTTGTGAACGTATGTACAACACTTTGCCCCTGCCACACACAGCAGCTGTTAATTAATATGTTAATGTGTTATTTGTTAATTATATTTGATTTTTTTAGACCTCTCAAAAAGGCTTCTATGCACTACTCGCGCCTGGAACTCCACTGTTTATACAATTCATAATAAAATAACACAAACTGGTCTGAAAGTGCATTTCATTTTTTTTTAATTACCTGGTTTTAGTATGCTTAAGCTGTGCACTTATGTGTGAGAGGGTGACGCTGTAGTGGTATTTTTCATTGATGCACACATTTTATAATGCCAAATTGTGTGTTTTAGAGACTCACTTCTTTATGTCTACTGCATGGTGTGAAATAGGGCTGCAACTTACAATTCAATTATTGAATTTGCATGATTGTTTGGTTTGGTCTTCAAAACAGTAAGAACGCCATTCCGAGTTTCTAAAAGTGCAAGGTGATCTTTAAATTAGTTATTGTGTACACCCAAACATATTCAGTTTAATAAGATACAAAAAAACAACAACAGAGAGAGCAAGACTTCTCCATTGGAGCTGAGAGGCAGAAAACAGCAATATCTGCAATTTATGCATGAAAATATACTTTTACAAATTCATCAACAATCAAAAATAGTTAGCCATTTTTTCCGGTCAATCAACTAATCATTACAGCTCTGAAGAAAATGTCCCTTTTTAGGGCCATGTGTACAATACAAATGAATATGAAATAAAACAGGAAAAAGGCCATTTTGCATTAAAAATCACTTTAATGTATACAAATATAAATTACTTGACATTTATCCAAATCGTTGGAGTTTTTTTGTTGATCAACTCATTGATTAGTCGACTAATTGTTGCTGCTCTACTGTAAACACTTATTTTCAGGACCACATGTACGTAGATTTACTATTGACTTGTGTTTAATATCTTAGTCCACCAGGTGTCAGCAGAGACCAGAATAATTTTCACAGATTTGAAGCTATGATAGGCCAACATGCTCCAGTGAGTCTGTGCAGGATATTTCACTTGAACATTTGTGTAAAAGCTGACATTATTGATAAGCAAACATACACATTGAGAGGAAGATCTGTTGTGAGTTCACTGTGTAAACTTATAATTTATAGAAAGAGAAATGTTGTACCCAAACCTCATACTGTTGTGTTTCTTTATTACTTCAGAGTGTACCTGAATAGCTTAGATGCCAGGTGAATATATTATATATATTGCCTGCATTTAAAAACGCTGGTAGAATGGAGCAATGGACTGATGTTGGTTTACAGACTCTTGCAATAGACGGTTTCCAATTCAGGCTCAGCTTCACCCACAAAAACCTTTAATTGTCACTGGATTGGTAAACACTAGACCAATGTTTTCAACAAACACTCTCTTTTTTCAAACACATTTTATACACTATTATCACGTACAAGGCGTATAAACAGTCATTTGTTGACAAGAAAGTAGGTTACATTCCTCTCTGTCCCAACACAACCATGTGTCTGTCCCGCCCCCTCCTACTCACATAAAACTCTAATTTTACACTTACTATTACAGCAGGAAACTCAGTCAAAACCAACACGGCTCGGTCTACCCGCGCCCAGTACTTGTCAGAGCGGAAACTGCACCACAGTGTGGCCATGGAGGGGTTCAAACTCAGGGAGAGGGGCAAAATACTCCTCACTGATTAATGTTAGGCAGTGCAGAGGAAACCACATTTTGAATATAGCTTTTTAGTACTTTGACCCTGGGTTTGGAAATTGTTTATGTGTATGTCCAAATACAGTGGCTTCATATGAAAAAGCCTTTTGAACACCTGTTGTTTTTTCTTAAACTGGATCAGTGTAATGGGAAGCCAAAAAAAAAGAAAAGATCTGCATGTGTCTCATAGTAAAAAGTAAGGAGCCCATTTGCAGGTGTAATATCCAAACAGTTGCAATTATCACAGTTTTTTTACATGGCATGTTTAATGTTTTTTATTTACCACAAACCAGCCTTAAATGTGCAGATTTTATTACTGTGTTTTAGCTATTTTAGGTGATACAAATGTGTGAATGAAGGGTGGGAGCCAATAAAAGTATATTCAGGGCCTCATAAATTATTTTTCTGGCCCTTTTGTCTCTAGCATGGGAAAAAAACTACGAAAGCAAAAATTATAATTAAAAATGGTCACAGTTTTTTTCCCGTTCTTTCAGTCGCATCTCTGAGCACTCAGTTTTATTTAGGTTCACTTTATTAAATGTAAAATGCCTTTTATTCCAACAAACCACATTTCCCTAGTTCTTCCTTTGTTTTGTGTGTTTAAAATGTTGCCCAGGATCTGCCCTTTATTAGTCATTACTTTGATTAAATAGGGCTCTGTTTTTCCAGGAGGAGGGGGCGTAGAGGCTTCAGACGGCTCGGAGAAGCAGTGGTTTCCGAGGCTGGGCTCTACTCCTCCAAGCATTTGTTTTTTACTTGTCTCTACTTTTAGAAACTTGGCCGTCGGGGGAAAACACAAACCCCATCTTGCCAAAGCCACAAGCGAGTCACAGACATGCAGCAGATGATGATGTTGTATAGCGTACGGCCTTCCTGTCTAAGTAAACAGTGATTCAGACGGGTGAGGAGTGGGAGGCTGTGGTCTGCTTCAGACTGGCAGCACCAGGCCTCACCCAGACCCACCATAACAGGATATGGTCCTCAGGCCCACACTGATGGGTGCATCATGTTATTATTTCCCTCAGATTTTACCATTTGGTCCATGTGGTACTTTCCATATACACTGTGTACCATGAGAAGAGCTGGGCGGAAGGCTCTGGAAAACATATCTCTCTGTGGTGTCTCTGACCGAAGTGACAGTGAATGAGGTGACTTTCCCTTCTCAAGCAGGTCTTATATAACTGTTCTTACGCAGGTCTGGACATGTGGGCAAGGAGGACATTAGTAATTATGTTTCTGTGACTCAACAGATGGTACGGAGTAGATATTCAAGCATAAAGGTTTAACATGTTACCACCACATCTTTTAAAACACAAATGATGCATTTGTTTATGTGTTATACATGGATGGGAAGTAAATACATTTAATGTTTCAATCAGTGTTTTACTTCAGTGTTGTATTTTTTGGAGCCTGACAATACACAAAGCTTTAATTTTAAAATAGTAGTTTAAAAAGCTTCATCTGCACATAGAGCAGTTTATAAGGATGATTCAAGACACCTCGAAAGGGTCACAAGATACACCCGAAGGGTTCTATGATAATTCATGTAAGAGCAAAAAATATTAAACAAAGTCCTGCCACTTTTATTGTTTTTTTGGTACTTCTTACTATCTTTGCTTTTTTGTTGAATTTTATTTTTGAATGATAATTGCACCTCTTTAAAGTTTGAACAGAGAGGGGAAGGAAAATGACTTTTTGGTCAAACTGCAAAATCTAGAACAACTGGTTTCACTTTGAAGGATATGTAAATGACGTAACAAAGTTGCCTTAATTAAAAAGAACAACACAATTAATTTCATAGTTAAATTCAATAAATAAATACTTTATTTCATGTAATAGTATAATCGTTAAATATGGCATGATTTAATACAGTTTGTTTTATATGTTAAACCAATATGCGTAAGTGTTTGTTGTTTCCTGTGCCTAGGCACTAATGTTTGTTCATGTACTGGTACTGCGTGTTTTGTTGATGCACTGGACAACTCAACGTGGGTTGACGTCTTTATTTGAAGCTCTGCTGAAGTCTGTGACAAAGTTATAATTTGACAAGGTTATACGGAAAAGGAACTTTAAAGATTAATCTCCTTTCACGAGAAGCGGCCAACGAGGTATTTGTTTTATGTTTTCATATGTCCTATTTTCATTCATATATGTGTAGTAGCTAGGGTTGCAAAATTCCGGGAATTTTCAAAGATGGAAACTTTCCACGGGAATTAACGGGAATGTATGGAATAAACTGGGAATTTTCCAAATTGAAGGTTGGCTCTTCATAGGGAACTTAAATATAGTTGGGGAAAGTATATTTTAGCATAATCTTGACTAAAACAAACATATGCCATTCAAGTACACTTGAATATCCAAGCCATAGCACACTGCTTACTGCATGGCTATTGAGACCACACAAAGGTTCAACAGGCTCACAAATGTGAGAGTGGAAAAACTGGTTGGCATTCGGGCAAACCTAAGGCTCTTTGAGCCTGACACAGAGCCATCCTCAACAAGGCTGGACAGTGACACTGAAGAGGAAGACTCAGAGTTGGATGTTGATGAGGCCCAGGAAGAGCCCATTGACTGAAAGGGTTTAGCAAAAATGCAGAGGATCGCTTGAAGGAAGATGTGCATGTTTAATGGGACTTTTATGAGGGAGAAGGGCTCTTTTCAATTAACATTTTGAATGGGACTTTGTGGGGATTTTTGGATGGGGGGTGCATTTTTGTTCATTTTTTAATGAGTGGGGTTGGGGGGGGGGGTGAGTAATATTTAACTCAACATTCCTGTTTTCGTTCTTCAATGAAATAAATAATTGTTCAATTAAATAATTAAAACTTGTTCTGTTCTACTTAGAATTATTATTATTATTTTTTTAATCTGTTGAAATGTCATGTTTTTTGTTTAATTTTGCATCGAATATTTCCCAAATTCCCCAGCTTAACTTCCCATGGAAACTTTCCGGAAATTTACCGGAAACTTTCCGGCCCTTTGCAACCCTAGTAGTAGCACAATATGCTAATATGTTTGGCTATGTATACGTGTAATTCGTTGTTGTAGTTCTCACGGCGTAACTGAAGAGGGGAGGCTACAAGATGAAAACTCCAAGAAATAAATGCCCGTTTTAAAGATCCGACCTGTGTCTGTGTCGTGAAGAGAACTACAGGATATATGGCATTTCATAAGTTCATCATTTGTTTTTCATGTGTCAAATATTAATCTGGAAAATAACTATTAACCACAACTGTCAAATAAAATGTTGTTGATTAAAGAGTCCAATAATTAACAGGGTAGGGTTGTATAAAGGGGCACGGACATGGTAAGATACGTCCCAAAACACAGCACTTAAATATATTTACCTCCCACCACTGGCGATGAACAAAACGGAAATTATAACTCTTGATTTAAAATGTTACTCTTAGTTAATACACATCATGCATTGTTTGAACACATTTACAGATACACCATTACAAACCAGTTGACACAGTAACAGCAGACTGCAGC